ACGATCGAGTATTAAAACAATATCCATTGGTGCTCGAAAAAGCGCTCCGGATTTCATTCCCACGAATCCCTATTGCCATTTGCATCGTCACGCGATGATTTTAGTTGCTCCGGTTTGACACGCCATTCGGTTGACCAATGAGGCTAATTCCGAAACGACATTTTTTCACTCATCTAGTTACTCATATCCTATCCTACAGGAGATAGTGGCATAGAGTAACAAGGACATATAAGACACATGTATTATGATCACATGTTTATATCCCTAAACAGGGGAATCGAGTATATTCTAGACATCCTCGATGAATCACAGAGTGCAGAGAGAGAGAGAGAGTCCGTAAACCTCATTACACGAGGAAAGGGCAACACTTTACCCTTGACTAACATGAGTGTACCATGTTGTACGTTCTGCCACATCTCAGATATTGCTATATACGCATCAGTAGAATGGGATGAACCCCGCAGTTATGGGAACCGGTGACCGAAGCCCTGATAATTGGAGCAATGAAGCACCGAGGGTTACAACAGAGGCGTGGAAATTACCTGCTCCGGAGTGACCGGTGAAATTCGCAATTGACCGAACTGCTTCCCCAGCCGCACGGTTGCATTTGGACCAAACATCACGCATCGCATTCATTGCCACGCTAAGCCGATCCTCACTCTCATCCGGTTTCTCTGACGAACTGCACGCAGTCGCGCCGTCCCCGGAGTCACGTTGTTCATGCATCAACACAAGTACCGGATGATCTTCGTCCTCTTCCAGACACTTTACCCAAGTAGGACTGGTAGACGTGATCGCGCCGGAGCAACGCAGCGGGATTGGTGGTAGATTGGACGGACGTGTCCGATGCAACTCGAACAGAGCGTAGCGTTGTTCCGAACCGGACAGCACATCCCGCTCCAGACTGGCATATAACTCATCAAAATCAGCCTCAGTGGGGCAGACAAAACCCAGAACCAGACTGGGATCGAGACGTTGCATTGGCATTCGAACCGGCTGATCGCAGTGATGAGTCAGATCGTCGGCTGGCGTGAGCTGTTCCGGGCCGGCTGGCTGGGTGGTGTGTGGATCCAAACAAAGTAGGCTGTCCTCTCCGTCTTCGATTACACCCACAAGCCAAACTGCATGACTCGGTCGGCCGCCCAGAATACCGATGCACTGTTTGATATGCAGCACAGCCTGTGTGATAGGGACGGACACACAAAACATTGAGGGACAATACATAGAAACAAATGCTAGAAAGAGTGTATCATGAATCAAGAATTGAAACTGAGGGGTGGGGGCGGGGTGAAACAGTACCTCACGAGACTGCCGGCTGGAGAAGGAAGTAAGAATAAGGTGGGGTTCATCACCAGTAAAAGGCGAACTTTCTGTAGTAGAATGTCATATGCCATCATTACACAGTCCAAGAAAAACACTCAGTAGCAAACAAGCTCGTTTGCGGTGATTCTTCTACAAGTTAATACATTACAACTTATATCAAACTGTTTATTAGGGAGAGAATATATGACAAGTTGGAAAAGAAATAATCAACATTCCAGTTCCATGGCTGGATGTTGCTCAACACTTTGGTCGTCACACATAGGGGATGGCAGTGTCGTGCGTGGTGTTGGCCATGGAAGACCGATTGATCTCACGAATTGTTTTTGGGAGCATAGGCGGCGGAGGGGGGGGTTGTGTAGGCGGGTTCCGACCGCTTCCACTGTGGCCAGAATGCGATATAAATTGCGATGTAAAGACTCTTGTACCATGATTTGCTTAGCACAGTCTGTCCTCAGACAAGTGTGAAACATAATAATAATATAATGATATTAGCCTGTAGAAGAATTACCGCAAACGAACTTGTTCGCTGCTGAGTATTTTTCTCACAATGGTCCCACAGACGATCAACCTCTAAGATATTAGGTAAGAGAGACGCAAAACAATCAATTTTCGTGCAGCTATGGTACAATTATTAAACATGTAGACCGTGCTCGAAAAGGTCAATATTTCCAACTCCAAGTTATTTGTGAGGGATGCTTTGGGATGATTGTTTTGCAGCTTCGGCTGACTATCCTTCATGTTCAAGCCTTAATTAAACACGTCTAGCTCGAGAAACAGCAAACTTGAAATGCGCTCTCGTCAGAGCTCATCAGTAGTGCATAATCAGCGACCGGTTCGAGATATGAACTCAAAAACTCCAGCACGGAATACGTGCGTGAGAGCGCTCGGAACAGCACGCGTCCAGCTCAGTTCCGCTCGCAAGCATGGCTAGTTGAATAAACTGAAGGTTGTCTGTGCGAGCGGATGAGGTCCGAGGGATAGTCAGTCAAAAACAACGAATATCAACGCCCAACCGTTTTGGCGTCAAGGAAGCAGTTCTGTTGAAATAAAGACGGATTACTTTGATAACATTGGTCGCCCCAGGTTTGAAGGAATGGGTCTTTATCTCGGCAACCTACAGAGTTCAACTTCCGTGGAATCCATCACTCACGCATCGCCCTCCATCGGTGAGATGAAGTGAGTATCCAGGGCTAGGAAACATTCTTATCTGGTTTTCTGCGAGATCAGACATTCCGATCGGTGAAGTGTGTCGAGTTGATGGTTTCCCCACGACAGTTCAAGTTTTACGCCTTACGAAAAGCATTGTATAGTTAACATTGATAGTTAGAGCAATTGGTAATCTGGTCGTTCCGTGGTGTCTCGAATGGACAGGGCATGAACACACGGACAGACAGAGCTCACCTTAATCGCGTTGAAATAGCATGGATTTGGCTGACACAGGCCAAGTCTGAGGGGAATGAACAGTAACAGAGGACGCCAACTATTCACTGTTTGTTGGTGCTGCGCGGGCTTGGGTGACAGAGGTGGACTGGTCCGATTTTCGGCCTCGGTTGTACGCGTCTCTAGGGGACCGGACGCATCCGAGTCCGGTGCGCTGGCCCGATCGACCGTGGATGAGTCCGCGTCCGAGGATGCACTGTACTCAAAGGTGGGTGGGACCACAATTTCCAAAAAGTCTTCGTCTAGGTCACGTGTTACTGGTCCGCTGATTTGTGGATTGTGTCTGGGGTTGGAGAACAAATGAGAATGATACGAGCGTGAAGCGAACAAGTACGCGCGGGCGCGTTCTTGGATTGGAACTGCGTCCTCATGTACTGGTAGGTTTTACCATGGACTGATAGCAGAAATGTCCATCTTTCTTCTCGGTTCGGCTTTATGAAAGCAGGGCATCAAATTTTAGCTCAATCGAAATGAAATATCAACTCCCCGATAGTCCCTTATATCACCCAGGGTTTTGTTGTGTTGAGACTAGACAAATGAATAACATGAGCGACTCTTGCTTAACCCCACATGATAACGCGGAGAGGGAACAGGTTGAGACAACACTCACTGTGCATTCGTTGATTAGATATCGATACGCAAATATATAGAGCAAATTGTGCATATGAGAACAGCGCAGTGACGCGCCAATCAGATTGCGTCCTTGACATATCGATTGATCGATCGGACAAACATTGGCTGACAAGTTCTGTGATCATCCAATCAGGTTCAGTCTGCGTGCGTGTGGCCTGACTCGGAGGCGTGCGCGATCGGACGGGTTGCTTGAGCTCGGTCCTAACAGTTTTTACCACCTGAACTGCATTTTTTTATGAGTTATCAGAAGCATTCAGTTAAGTTAATAACCATTCTATTTTTGTCTGTTGCAAACTGTTACAACTGACTGACTACCTCTAGAGGTCATAGGTGGAAAAATTTCAGCTGGTGGGCCTAGTCAGCTGGGATGTGAGCTGGTTGGCACATTGATGAGACAGAAGCCACCGGTGCGACAGGTCCCGAGTTCAAACCTCGAACAGGATACTATACTGCTGAGCTCTAGTGACAGCGAAACTCTGATATGGATGCAACGAGTGCTGATCTAAGAATATAACTCTGTTGATCAAAATCGATGATTTTCTTTTTAAAAAAATGAAAAAAATACTGGGGAAAACACGTTGAGAGACGTGTTATCAAGCGATACGAAAACGATGCAACAAAAAACCTCGCACCACAACAGCAAATCCGCATTCCGTCACACACACACACACAAACGCACCCCACAACCTCAGTA